AAAAATTTATTTTTAATTTTTAACTCTGCCAGCAAAGATAGAAGTTCACCTTTAGAAAACTTTAGAATAACATCATAATGTTTCGGCCCATTGTGTATCATCGCAACAGCAACACCACAAGCCATTTCTTGTGCCCACAGCAAAATTTTAAGTTATGTTTACTGTCCATGCCCAATCGTTCTGGTTTTTCCTTGTCATACATTACAGCTAGTGTTCTAGAGAGAATCCTCCCACTACTGAGATTTTATGCTGAACCAGGTTTTCAGCTTGAACAACATAAAGTCATATACCTCAGTCAATTTAAAACTTGCATTTCTTGATAGCATTATTTTAAATACTATTTTCTTGCTACACTCACTTCAAAATAATTGATTATTGAATATTTAGCTTACCTCCCTCCAGCTTATACAGAAATCACAATACTTGAGCATATATACAATAGCTGTTTTATATTGTGCAATACTATTCAGCCAATGCAAAATTATGAAGGAGATGAATCATCACAGTAGAAGTTGTGTGATTAAAGCAGAAACTGTCACTAAAGTGATGCTGCTGAAATTACCTGTCATTCTTTGAAAGAAAGTCTAAGAAAGACAGTGTACAAGTTACTTTTTGATGACAGAAATGGCAATACTTTGACCAGGAGAAATTCGTTGTTCACAGAGCTGTTGAAAACAAGAGGTAAGAGGAAAATACTAATGACATTATTCAGCCATCATTTCTGTTTCAGGTCAGGCAGGGGAATATCCTGAGCTGTCTTTTTCAAGGTGCTCATAGACACCACAGAGAAGAAAAATACTACAAATCTTGCAAATTTTCAAAGGAAGTCATCCAGTTTCAAAAAGCCCACATTTATCTGCAATAAAAGATGATTAGTTGTGAAAAATGCATCTCCTGCCTCAGCAGAATGCACATCCCACAACTGGCACTGCACACCAAACTTAGCAGAGATGCTCCCTGTCCAAAGAGATCCAATTTAAAATAAGACAAAGAGAATACACCATCAATTAAATTTTAGGGTTATTTTCTTTTTTTCTTTTTTTTTTTCCATTTTAACTGTAGTTACAGTATCTTCAATGCAGTTCTAAAACAATCATGGAACTCTTGAAGGTGCTGAACATCACCCAAGCTAAGTTCCATATATTCCCCTCCATTTACCCATTTCTGCACTTATTTGCCATATTTAGGCCCAAATGCCATGTTTCTTACTCAGCATCCCCTTCTTTACAAGAGAGAATAGAAGATGGGAAAATATACAAATATATTACAATTTCTGACAATGGGGTCAAGGTCCTCCAACAGCTTCAGTTTCCAATCCTTTACAACAAAAAGTTCCTTACTTTTCTATACAATTGCCCAACTGAAAATTAATATCTAAAATAGATTTGGGAGAATCAGGTTCAGGATTAAAATGAACATATGCTTCAGTTTCCAATCCTTTACAAAAAAAAGTTCCTTACTTTTCTATACAATTGCCCAACTGAAAATTACTATCTAAAATAGATTTGGGAGAATCAGGTTCAGGATTAAAATGAACATATGCTTCAGTTTCCAATCCTTTACAAAAAAAAGTTCCTTGCTTTTCTATACAGTTGCCCAACTGAAAATTACTAAAATAGATTTGGGAGAATCAGGTTCAGGAGTAAAATGAACATTATTTTAGGCATTTTCTGGACTTTGGTGAGACAGAAAAAAAAATGTTTCATACACTTATTTTCAAATATAAAACTAATCAGAAAAAAATATGTATTGTCTATGTATCCAACTCTATATTGTGTCCATTTATAACTATATATCATCTCTTATTTCAAATTTTATAAACATACTTAACATGCAATTTTAATTGTATAAGGATAGGCATTTTCAGCATGAAAATTCCTTGTGGATTGGAATTCTGAATCTAACTCTTTGCTATAGATCAGTGTACTGATTGCTTTGTGGTGGGTGTGGAGTTGACTAAGTAGAGATGGGAGGAAGGCTGTGGAGCTTGTACAGCCTGGTAAATGTGCTTTTTTGAGAATGGAAACAGAAAGAGTAATTGTTCAGTGTGTCTTTTTCCCCATTCCTTCAGTGATACAGATCTAGAAGTGAAGTGAGAAAGTCATCCCTTTTTTCAGGGTTTCAGAACACAGAGAATCAAACATCCTTCAGCCTGCAAAGAAGTATTTACTGACAAAGAAGAAACGAGCACACTTCACACAATAGCAACAATCTGCTGAGCATTTGCCTGTTTTACATTGAAAACCCTCACATTTTAATAGTTTCTTTTAAATCATGCTAAGTCAATGACACTGCCAAGGGAAGGAATAAAGTTTCAAATAACAAATAATATTTGCATTAAGGGGAAAGAAAATGCTCTGCCTATGATACATTGGTGATTTGACTGCATCATAACCGGTGTTGTTCCAGATTAGGGCAGTGTGCTAGGAAACTATCAACATATGCACCATATGCACCATATGCTGCCTTTATTCTCCCACTTTTTATTAGACATCTACTTCAAGACAGGATGTTGGACTATGTGAAAGTCTAGTCTGATACAGTACTGTGATTTTTATGGTAATTTGGCTTTTCCCAGCAAGAAATAATTTTTCTTTTTTAATCACTTGACTGGTTTAAAAATTGATTAAGGTTTAAAAATATTTCTGTTTTATAATTATTTTGCATTAATGCCTGTGACACCAATTTGCAGTTTATTTTAAATATGCTGACTTTTCATTATGGTTTAACCCCAGCCAACAATCCAGCCCCAGGCAGCTGCTCACTGGACCCCAGCAGCGGAACAGGGGAGAAAATGGAAAGGGTTGAAGCCAGAATATTCATCGGGTGAGATAAGGACAGTTTAATAGGGAAAGCAAAAGCCACACACACAGAAGGAAAGGAAAAAATGGAATTAATTCCCTGCTTCCCATGGGCAGGCAGGAGTTCAGCCTTCTCCAGGAGAGCAGGGTCCCATCACAGGTAAGGTTTGGGAAGACAAATGCCACCACTCCAAATGGTCCCCTTTTCCTCCTTCTTCCTTCTTGTCCCCACTTTATACACTGAGCATGATGCCACATGGCCTGGAATGTCCCTTTGGTCAGCTGGGGTCACCTGTCCTGGCTGTGTCCCCTCCCTCCCTCCCAGGCACCCCCAGCTCCCTCACAGTGGAGCTCACAAAAAGCAGAGAAGCCTTGGCTCTGTGCAGCAGCAACAACAAAAACATCTCTGTGTGACCAGCCCTGTGCTCAGCACAAATCCAAACACAGCCCCACACCAGCCACTGCACAGAAAATGAACTCTACCCCTACTCTCTACCAAACCAGCACACCATGACTTGCACAGAACACACAACTGTCCCTTTGCCCCCAGTTCTTCTTCCTCCCACAAAGCAGAACATACATGCCAGAACTTTCCAGCAGTTTTTGTCTTGCAGACTCATTTGTTTCTTTCGACTCCCCTGCAACCTCTTTTCTTGTACTGTGTGCAGTAGATCAGTCTCCAGAAACTATTCCAGATTAAAATTGATGACTTCAGCTGGTTTATTTTTGTCATATATCATCATCACTGAATGATGGAGCAGAATCCTTGCACTGGCCAGGGAGCTGCAGAATTCCTACAATGCCAGGGCACAAGTGGTGGAAACTTCTTTTAGCAACAGTGCCCTGATTTGGAACACACTCCAAACTAGTCTGAGTCACTTTTGGCCTGTCACTGTTGGGCATCCACAGCTCCCTGCCCAGCCACCCTTTACAGGCAGCCCACACATCTCTGAGGAGTCATGGATATCACTTTCATAATTAATGTTCTAGGTCAAGGCATTTCAGAGGAAAAGAAAGAAAAAAGGATTGATTAGCAGTTTTTTCTGGGATGTTCAGAAATTACTGCTGATCTTTTTTGTGCTCCAGTGTACAGACAAGTTTGGTCTGTGTTTGATTATCCTCATCATATTGAAGGAATTGTGGATGTTCTAGTTAGACAAGAGGTTGTAAGAACATTTTCTGCTGAAGAATTATTATTCACATTTGAATGCAGTATCTTGACATCTATTAGCACCAATATTGATGGCAAAACACTCAATTTATATTCAAAATATGGGATGATCTCTATCAAAGGCAATATCAGAAAACTGACAGAGAAATGACTTTCCGTTAACTGTGCCAGATGTAGTTATATAGTTCTCCTGGGTATTATTTTAGTGGGTGAAAACTATAGTGAATAAATAGAACAGTTCAGTTGGAAGGGATCTACAATTATTGTATTGTCCTACAATCTTAAAAAAAAACCCCAAACCTGGATGACATAATTCAGGAGGGACTGAATACTAATATTCCAGGCATTCAAAATTCCTTATGTGTAGTGCAAATTGTTGCAAAGGATTCCATGTTGTTACCCACTCTAGGTTTGAAAAGCACTTAAAATTTATTTTTTAAAACTTTTTTCAAACATATCACACAATAATAACAGGCATGAGGTAGCATAAAGCATATGTGCTGTACTTGTTTTGGGACAAGTACAAAGGCCCTTCTAGACTTACCTGAAAACAAAGACAGCATGTAAATTCTTCTAAAACCTACTAAAGTGCTTAGAAAGTGTTAAAATGCTCTATATAGGAAAAAAATACTCTTGTATATAGAACTTCTGGATATGGTTATAGTGTTGTGTCTTTTAAGACAAGCATTTTAACTACTGAATATTTATAATATCCAACCAAATCAAAATTGACTATATTTGCATACACATATAACCCTCACCTCAGGTAATATTAGAAATTATCTTTCTTGGCTATAAATCTTCAGATTACATGCTATTAATTAGCACACAGAGAAGCAGAAGAAGGAATAGGCAAAGAAAGGCAGGTTAAATAGCAAGGGGATTTCAGAAAAGAGGGAGCAGGGAAATAAAATTTCCCTTATATAACCTGAACTTAATGTAATCCCTGCTTTATTGAATTCCAAGGCTTTATAATTTAAGGGATGTTATTCTTGCTTTTCTTAAATCATAACCTATAACTAAACAAAAGCAATGCAAGTGCAGTAACAATGAATGTACTTTCGAGATTATTTATTCAAATATGCTAATTAACAAAGGTTACCTTTTCAATTTGATTTTGTAGAGCAGCATTCTCATAGTTACCATGCCCTGTACAGTTCTTAAACACTAAAATTCTAACAGAGGTGCTCTCAGTAATTTTCTACACATAGATGACAATGACAGGTTTGGTTTTTCTTTTGCTTGACACCACTATGAAGAACCATTCACTGTCCGAGATACTTTCTTCACCAATGACAGATGGTCTGAAAGAAAAAAAAAAAAAAAAAAGTGAAAGAGGAAGGATGGGAAGAGGGAGGAAACA